ACTACGCACTCTGGCCGGCACGATGGTGGGCTGCCGATGTAATTAGGCTGACAGGAACACACTGCGTGATTATCGATAACGCGACAGTTGCTATACGGACCACAAGGAGATGGTTGACATGTGTCACCCGGTACCGAAGGCTCTATAAGAAACGAAACACGTTACGGATCATTTGAGATCTTTCTAAATTAATCATTTTTTTCTTTATCTGCTGCTTTGTCAAAAAGAAGATTTTGACAGAAAATATCAGAGACATACCTATTGGTATGTGGCAAGAAGTAAGTGGATCTCCGGTATAACCAGAAAGGCAACTGCAGGATGGCTGATGATTATAAACTTGGCATTGCGCGTTAATTCCGCACGCTCCTACACACGGGTCCTTGCACTTGTTGTTAATGCAAGCCTTTGTGTGAATACAATCCGAGTTCTGAACGCATTCTGGTCTGCAGCCTTCGTATGGATCGCCAGTGTAATCGGGCAAACAAGTGCAAGATCCCGCACCATTACGCTCTTTACATACGGCGTTCGCTCCGCATGGTGAAGGATCGCATGGCAGTTGCGCCGGGAAGACAGCTGCACAACGAAAATTTATTTATACAAAATGTACAATTTATTACAAAAAGTTAAAATTGTTTAAATCTTACCTTTAGCACAGCCTGAGAAAGGATCTCCTTCGTAGCCTTCGTAACAATGACATATAGGTCGATGATTCTGCACGGTGCAGTTTGTATTAAATCCTACATGATCCAACGCATGGATCCAAACATTTCTTTTGAATACAAGCTAGGGAGCTAACACAGTCTTGGTCGATCACGCACTCTGGCCTACAATTTGGCGGTGCACCATACATACCACTGATGCACGTGCATATAGGATGATCTTCTTGCACACGGCAATCAGCATTAGGCCCGCAAGGCGATGGCAAACAAGGATTCGTAGTTGGCGGGAAAGGTTCTGAAAAAGAGTACGATGTGGCTGATAAAATAATATTCAATCTTTTTTTATGTTGTTATAAAGGCACTTTGTAACGAATTAGCAATTATTTATTTAATTCACAAAAGTTTGAATTTTATCGAGTGCGATATTTTTCATTGCATATTCATTGCGAAATCTTCGCATTAGATAACTTTACATTATATATATATATAAAAACCAGAAAAATAAAATATAATTTAAGTTCCATTATAAACTATTTATATCTTTACGTTTCTACATAATTAATAATACGAGGACGAGATCGGAAGAGATAGATTCTTAAACTGAAGTTACTAATGTATTACCTTCCTTAACGCACTGTGTAAAAGGATCACCAGCATATTGACGAGGACAGCTGCAGATCGGGTTGTGATTGATGACCTGGCAATCAGCATTCAAACCACATAGTCCCGGGCAAGGGTCATTACACTTCTGATTAATGCAAGCCAGATGAGTCGGGCATTCCGTGCTGACGAGACACTCTGGACGACAATGCGGCGGAGTGCCTTGATATCCCGGGCTGCATGAGCAAACTGCACGATCGTTCATTACCCGACAGATACTGTGTGGACCGCATGGCGATGGCATACACGGATTCTGATCTGGAACTACTAAAAAATTGCAAAATTACACGCTTCTTATCATATTATTTCTTTTACAATATTTTTATAATATTTGCTTAATAATTTAGATTTAAACTTAGAATCTAATTTCAATCACTTAGATTATAATAAAATCTCTGAAAAAAAGCTAGGATGTGAAAATTTTATAATTTTACGCAAACTAAATATATAATTTATATTTTAAATTTAAGGAGAAATATCGTCATTTCTAAATGCATTTGATATCATATATATATATATATATATATATATAAATTGATTTGATATCATATATATTTCTAAATTGATTGGATATCATATATATAGTAAAACAAAGCGCGTGTGAAATAATAAATTAATACGTACATGGTCTTTCTACTTTGCAAGCTCTGAACGGATCTCCAGTATATCCTGGCAGGCAAGAACACATCGGAAGATGATCGACAACTTCGCAATGTGCATTACTACCGCATACACCTGGACACGGATCTCTGCAGTGCTGATTAAAGCAAGCCAGGTGACTTTCGCAATCTCGATTAACAATGCACTCGGCTTCGCAACCGTCTATATAGGGATTGCCAATAAACGGCGGTATGCACGTGCATTTGGCTATGCCATCGATCGCTGTGCAAATAGCATTCTTGCCACAGGGTGATAGTAAACAAGGATCATACGGTTCTGCTGGTCGTGCTACACGTAACAATCAATGAAACATTTATTCCTGATTATTTGAATTTTTTTAGCTAAATTTTAAAATATTTATCATAAAAGATCGTAAGAGCTTCTTAACTTAGTATTACAAGTTTAACTATTAAATAAACAAGATAATAACAAGAATGAAGCAATACGCAGTTAAAAAAATATTAATCTATTAAGCTCAATAAAAAAATGTTCAAGTATTTATGTGTGCAGAATCGTGATACATTTAGTTTTAAAAAAATTATACCGCAATTATAATTTTTAATAGGTTTTATATTTGATAGTAAATTCTTTTCAATATTTCATCACTATTTAATTATTGATAATATTATTTACCTCCGCAACTCTTATATGGATTTCCAATCGTGAGATCTGGACAGTAACAAGGAGGTACTCTCGTGCTGTTGCATCTCGCCCCAAAACCGCATGGATTAGATTCACACTGATCGATTTTCGGTACGCATCCCCTAATGGTATTGGGGCTTTCGATGTATCCAGGCAGACAGGTACACTTTGCGAAGCCGTTATCTAACACGGAACAGCGAGTATTAGGACCGCATGGAGAAGGATCGCAGGAAGTACTAGGAAGTGTACAGGGGAAATGCGGCGGTTCTCCTTCGTATCCCGGCAGACAGAAGCACTTCACTTGTCCATTCACCACCCGGCATCCTGAATTGACACCACAGGGATTACCTTCGCATTGGTCACCTTCTGGAACTGAATACACAGATTAATTTATTAAAGGATTTATAAAGGATTAATTCTCTTTACTCTCTGTTAATTTAAATGAGCTACATTTACAATCTAGAACGTATACATAAAAGATGTCATAAAGTGCAAAAATGTACTTACTACACTGTTCAAATGGACTCCCGGTTAAACCTTTCGGACAGAAGCAAACAGGATTTCCATTGTCATTCTCACACAAAGCATTCAAGCCACACGGATTGGGAACGCAAGGATCGATAATCAACACTATTTCCTGACAGCCAACTTGAGGATTTCCTTGATATCCTGGAAGACACGTACACTGCGCTTGATGATTACTGGAGACGCACTTTGCATTTTCTCCGCAATCAAACTCAACACAAGGATTGATACACTGTCTGTTGAGTCGATCGCAGTATTTGCTTGGAGGACAATCTTCATTGTATTGACAAATATTCTTGAATTCTTCCACTGAAATCATGAAATATGCTAGTTTATATTTTTGCATAAACATATTAATATTAATAATTATAATTATAATATTAATATTAATAATTATTAGATTTTCATTTTCACATCAATTATTTTAAATATTTGAGAAAATAATATCAACTTCTATGTATGTTGTATGTCAATTTATCGCTTTATTAATTTTTAATATTTCATTAAAGGTAAAACTTACCCAAATCACAATAGGAGAATCCATTTCCGTGATAGCCTTCGTCGCAACTGCAGTCTGCTCCGTGATTTGTATTGATACAAATAGCATGTTCCGCACAAGGATTTCGAACTAGGCACGGTTCCTGGCAAGTGTGCCCGATGCACGCTTCTGTCAAGGGGCAATCCCTGTTGCTAGTGCAACCCGCTAGAGAAAGAGTGGGAAAGCCCATATAGCCCCAGGAAGTGTAGCAGGGGTGCACAAGTATAAGAATTGAAATAAAGAAATTTTCTTTGCGTAGCAATGTGTAATTTTTTTTTTCTTTATTACATAGGTGCGAAAAGGTATGCGAATTATCAATTAAGAGAAAAAATATTTCCCGAGATAAAGAGAGAATGAATATTCTTGAGAATGTATGATGAATATATCTTAAGGAGATCATTTTTTGTGATCATGCACAATAGTAATGATATCGAATATTTTGTGCTTTATATAAAGAGTCTTATATATAATTTGCCGAATATATATATGTACGCGAGATATGTACAATACATACATATTTACAAATTTCTCGACGGCTATAAAAAAAGACTGAAAATAAAATTAGATGAAACCAAACGTAATGTTGGTCGTACGAACCTTTGATGCAAGTGTTTGTCGACGGGTCGCATTGCATACCAGGTGGGCAATAAGGACATTCTGCTTCGTTGCTTGGCACTGAAAGAAATCGCACAGAATAAAAAATGTATTTTTTTCTCTTTGCATACAAAATGCAAAATGCTATTCGATTTAATTGCAAATGTACCTTTAACACAAACCGGTCTGTGATATTGGACATGACAAGCTTCAATGAAGTCACACGGATTGCCCAAAGTGCAAGGATTTACGCACTGATGATTTACACAAGCCAATTGGAGGGAGCAGTCGTTGTGCGTGGTACATTTCACGTCTAACGAAACAAATGTACATTAGAGACAAGAATTAATATTATGAACGACGATAGCGTCGTGAAACATTAATGTTATGTACACGTCTGAATAGAAAAATCTGTTTGACCTCATTTTTAACTACCATCTTGGTATATCAAAAATGGCAGTCATGAAACGGTCCACATTTATTTATCATATTGTCAGTGCAATACATAAACATAAATACACAAGGAAACGATACTCGTTCCTTTGTAAGACATATAGTGGCATTTGTGTTACATGTGTCAAGTATAGAGTAGCTCAAAGAGAAACATTGACGTATCTGCTTCCAAGCGAAAAATTATCTTTCACAGTCACTCTATTTTATTTACGATATTTGCTTTATATATATTTTTTTATAAATATAATATCAGTAGAATATTATTTTGTATCATAAATTTGCACGAAAGATAGTTTCTTCTGAACGCAGACAATTGAAATTGCAATTTAGTGTACACATGTTAGATAAACAAAAAAGCTGTAAGAGAGAAAGTCGTGCATAAGCGATAAGTTAATATACATCATGCGTAGAGCGCTAATGCAGCAGTCCTTTGTCTGCATTTGGGAAAGCAGTGTCTGACTGCCTATTTGACAATTTTCGATTTATCACATGGGATATACAGATATTCGCTTTACGGGCCGCCCTTATGATATCGATCGCATTTTCATTCATGGATTTACAACGATGAGCCATTTCACGAAATGACTGATCATTCGACAAGCAATGTCTATAATCTCCAGAATTGGTTGCTTCCAATTTTTATCTGGAATACAATAATGGTCCCACATTGGAGGAAGCTTCGGTGACAATAAAACATAAAATGACACCACATTTACGAAACTCCCGACAAGAGAAATTTTTACCTGGGAGCACGCTACAATTAGACGTACTCTGCTCGGTACTTGAGTCTAAGCACACAGGCCGACGATTTATAACATCGCATAGAATATTCTTTGGGCAGGGATTATCAGTTTTACATGGATTCCGACAAAGACCAGCGATGCAAGTCTCGCATTCTGCGCAGTCTGTATGCATGCTGCAAATCATATCTGTTTTATTCTGAATAATTTCAGATGTCATATATTGTTCTGTGCTCGAGACTTGCTCTGTTGATTTTTCAGATGTAGTGAGTTGTTCTGTGGTGAAATATTCTTCTGTGGTATAGTTAATTATACTATATTGTGTTGAAGTCGATTGCATAGACATGATGAATTGTTCAGTAGGATATTCAGATGTGCTATATTGTTCTGTAGTAGAGATTTGTTTCGTTGTAAGCTGTTCCATTGTGACATACGGTTCCGTAGACTGCTCGGAGGTTTTAAATCGTTCTGTAGTAGAATATCCTTCTGTAGTAAAG